TTTGGTTATTCCGGATTATAGATCATCAATTTAAATCTGGTATGATGGCATGCAGAAATTATACAATTAAAAATATGAAACCGTAATTTATGGAATAAAGAGCAATTATGATCTAATCCATATCAAAATTTACAAAAAGAATAAGCTTAATATTTATTTGTTTACTTTATTAAACATTTCTTTCAATGTAAGTTGTTTAAGTTGCTTCATTTTTTTGTGCTAATACTTTCTCTATAATTCTATAAACAGACATAACTTCTTGTTCAGATACAAAGTTCCATTGTTTAAGTCCTGTAATTGCTGTGTCGAGAATACCGACTAACTTGTCAATCGAAATTTTTTCATTTTCAATAACGTTCTTTGTTACTTTCTTCGCTATCGGAAGTTGCGCGTGGGTAAACGCTTTACTGGCTTTAAGCGCATGCGTAAGTTTGTGGCTTTGAGGTCGGGATTATGGATCATTCCGGATAATGGACTTTGTACTGTAATATATTTTAATATTATTTATACTATATCTTAATTTTTGGGCCCCCCCCAAGAAAGTGGGGGCTCTCAGCTATAGCTCGTGTAGCTTATACATAAATTCGACCCTGACAGTATGCAGTAAGATTTTAAGCTAAAAAAAATTTAATTAGGAAACATTTCTACAGAACAGCAAGCAGCAGATTGCTTTCAAAGTTATGAAATCTGACATAAAAAAGTGTAATCTATACAATATGTTCAACAAAACAGTAAACTACCTGCAGAAAGTCTGCACTCATAGCATTCTAAACAGAGCTTCAAGTAAAATCAGGAAGGCAAAACAAACTAATAGAAATTGATGAAAGCTTTTTTACAAAGCAGGTTGAACACTGATTTTTTGTTAAATAAAGATGCGTCAGGTTTTCAGAGTTCCACAGGAACAACTAACAGAAATTTGGTAGCATCTCCCTAACTTTCACAGTCGATGAGATAATATGTAAGTACTGGAGAATGTTTTAGTGAAGAAGAAATTGAATAGCCACACAATATAATAACTACTACTGAAATATAAATGAATTTTTCTATAAAAAATAAACCTTTATTTATTCCCCGCTTTTTTTAAGCCTCAGGTTCTTAAAATACCATTTGAACTTTACCTACAACCAAGAACTAGCAAGTCTGCTCTAGGAACAGGATTTAAAAATTTAAAAACCTTGCTCCACAGAACATCCCAGCTGGTTTTTTTTTCTTGAAATAAAATACCAAGTATTTTCCTGTGATAAGAGATAACATATCATCATCACAGTCATTAAAATAACTCTGATTTTTTTTTCTATTATGTCATTCACATTTAATGATTTGAGCTCAACTTAATTGCAAAACAAATATTAGATACTTTTGCTTCATAAAACAGAACTCTTAGTATCTAAGCCTGAATTTAAACCAAAGTTTTCCTAAAACAACTACACTAATGATTTTAAAAATACTGATAATTCTTATATTGATTTAAGAATGTATAAAATGGAAAATTTATTGAAATACTGAATGCATAATTCACTTCAATACATAATTTATCTTCTTTTAATATGTTACATTATTCCAGAAATTCATATACAGTCAAAAGTCGTTAATCCGGACTCATCGGGACTTCGACGATTCCGGATTATAGATCATCAGTTTAAATCTCGTAAGATGGCATGCAGAAATTCTAAAATTAAAAAATATGAAACCGTAATTTATGAAATAAAGAACAATTATGATAATTATTATAAAGGGTATCAAAATTTACAAAAAAAAAAAAAAAAAAGTTTAATATTTATTTGTTTACTTTATTAAACATTTCTTTCAATGTAAGTTGTTTAAGTTGCTTCGTTTTATGTGATAATACTTTCTCTTTAATTCTATAAACAGACATAATTTCTTGTTCAGTTACAAAGTTCCGCTGTTCAAGTCCCGTTAATTGCTGTGCCGAGAATGCCGACTAACTTGTCAATCGAAATTTTTTCGTTTTCACTAACCTCTCTGTCACATTCTTCATGTCTTTATCCATTTTTTGCAGCAATTCCACTTTTTGTTTGTTGGACATCGAAACATACTTTCGTTTTGTAGATCCTTTGGAAGTTCCAGCATCGGAAATTCTATTTGACATAATCGAAAGTTCAAGTTTACTTTTATAAAATTGCTCTTACAGTCTGCAAAAAATAATAAGCGGGATCCAATTCGAAGATTAAGGAACAACGCAATCATTAACTGAAATAGATAATTTTAGCTTACACCGTCCGTTATACATTAAACGCGCAGGCGAAAACGTATTCTGCACTTGCGCACACGCATATGCGCAGTAGTCAAGGTCTTACGCGCACGCGTAAAACGCCTGTGCGCATGTGCCAACGCGGCTTGTGCGCAGAAAGTTTTTAGCTTTGAGGTCCAGATTATAGATCATTCCGGATTATGGGTGTCCGAATTAACGACTTTTGACTGTATACAGTTTCATTTTTTAAAAATATGTACTATACTTAAGAAAGATCTTTCAAATGATGTTGAATTTTAACGATGGCTGTTACATTTTTCAGTCAGTTGTACACTTCTATCAGAAGCAAAAATGTTTTATTCACTACATTCCACCCTTTTGTAGTTCTTTGAATACTGTATATATATTAATAAAACAATTTGAAGGACCAAAGTCCATAGCTATCCTATAACAGTTAATATGCATGTATGATACAAGCTCTTGATCATCCAAGGTGACCTTGGTGTATATTACTTTGAATAATCAGTCTATCATATAAAAAAAACTGAAATTTATTAATTCTTGAAACTATTCTTAGCATAAAGAATATCAAAATTTTCTCAGTATCTTGCACAGAAGATCACCCACCCTGTGAAATTCCTAAACAAATATGAAGTTAACTGAATAATATTACTACAAACTGAACATAAATTTCAGAAGTTTTTTCCCACCAAAATATACTGAGGAATGGGTACTTGCCATTTTATTTACCATGTTCACATTCTAGGCGCCTAAATAAATGTAATGAATTAATAGAAAAATCAAATTAAAATTCAGTTCAAATTTACATGGACTAGATTATTGAACTATTTGAAACTCAATTCTGTTGTAAAATATATTAACATTTAATTCTTATATTCTCTGGCTAATTCCATTTTTTAAATCTTTATATAAAAATTTAGAAATGACTACAGATTAAGACAACTCTGACCAAATGAAATTTAATAAAATGTAACAAGAAAAAGTACAATTCAAATGAAATAGAATTTAAAAATTTTGAAAATCATTAGAGATTGAGGGAATGGAATTTGCCTAATTTAAGTTTAATTAAATACATTCCATTTATTTCTGAGAAACATTTTCCTTTGTTAAGACTAAAAATTTAAAAAGGAGAGTAGGCAGCAATGAATTATTCTTCAATATAAAAAATGTCCTAATTTCCATACTGGCTTTAGTTATCTATTAAATGAAAGTCCACAGGAGACATGCAGATAAATTTCTAAAATTACTACACTCAAAAGTCTTTAATCCGGACTCGTTGGGACTTCCGGATTACAGATCATCAATTTAAATCTGGTAAGATGGCATGCAGAAAACATAATTTATGAAATAAAGAGCAATTATGATCTAAAGGATATCAAAATATACAAAAAAAAAAAACTTAATATTTATTTGTTTACTTTATTAAACATTTCTTTCAACGCATGCATGCGTAAAGAATACATTACGCATAGTCGAAATTAGAAAATTGCAATCAGAAAACTATTTGATGTGTATCCGTAATATAATGACGAGAAATTTGATTTAAATCATATCAAAAACGGAGTACATTGAGATGAAATACTACATTTAGCAAGGAATTACAAGCCGAATAAAATAAAAACATCTGCCCTGAATATAAGGATAGTGCTGACAGATCAACTTCCAGTTCATTGCGCGCCGTGATGTTCCTCCCCCCGCAGAGCAGTGTAAAATTGATAAACAGATTTTGGAAAGGTTAGAGAAACAAAGGATATGCCTTTATACATTTTTTGCAGCAATTCCACTTTTTGTTTGATGGACATCAAAACATGCTTTCGCTTTGTAGATCCTTTGGCAGCTCCAGAATCGGAAATTCTTTTTGACATAAACTAAAGTTCAAGCTTACTTTTATAAAATTGCTCCAACAGTCCGCAAAAAATAAGCCAGATCCAATTAGAAGATTAAGGAACAACGCAATCTGCAACATTAACTGAATTAGATAATTTTAGCTTAGCTTATACCGTCCGTTATACATTAAACGAGCATGCGCAGAAAGTTTGTAGCTTTGAGGTCCAGATTATAGATCATTCCGGATTATGGACGTCCAGATTAAAGACTTCTGACTGTATTCTTATAATAGAAAAGGGGTGGTCAATGTATGCTGCAGAAAAGCTTCTCGAACAGAAAGGTGATGATAAAGAAAAACTAAGTTATTTTATGAACTTGAGCATACTCTCTATAGCCACACTTGGAAATTTTCATTTTTGGGGGTTTTAAAAAATTCTATTATCACATGTGCCACTAAAATGAAAGGTAAAGTTCAATAGGAAAATTTTTCACAGACAACAGCAAGTTTAACGAATTAATCAAATGAAAGAAACAAATTTAACAAATTAATTTCGTTTCTTATGACTTAAAATTTACACACATGCTCAGACATTCATACCCAGAATTAAAAAAAAAATTTTTTTTGTCAATAATGAAATTCTGAATTTAGTTTCAGTATTGCATGATAATCAAAACCAACACTTAAATGTCACTAACATATTTAATGAACTTTTGTCATTATGCAGAATGATACTGGCACAGCTATAACATACTAATTTTTACTTGAAAAAAATGCTCAAATTTTTTTAGTATGATTAGTCTTCATAGTAAAAAAATGCTGGATACATAGCTCAACCACTAAAAACTGCTATTGATTGGAAACTTGCCTTTACTAGAAAATCCACGAGCATAGCCTTTATACTTTAATATCATAAATTACATGAAATAAATAAAACTATTAAAAACTAAATTCCATATTTATTCAAATTGGTAGGACCATCTGCTACTACTTTTTTTTATCCTAAAAATAAATAATTATTAAATGATATGCATGGCTGGAAATTTATGAATACAGCAAATGACATACTCTTTAATAAATTCATTTCACATTTTGTTCCAACTGATCGATTTACTAGGAGAAAATTTAAATTATGGACATATCCCATATAATTAGCAGAATTCAGTAGTTAAGGTCAAACATTTCACCAATCTGTTTAAGCATTGAATTTACCAATAATGATACTATAATTAAGGCCTTTTTACGAAAAGTTAACTTCTATGCAATCAAATAAAGCATGTTAATCTGCAAAACAAGGCACAGAAGTCAACCTTGAAATCTGAAAAATAGCAAGACTTCTGGGAGAAAGTAGAGATGCTTTTACGCTGCACGGCAACATTAAAAATATACTGACTTATACAGAAATATTTTAATGCCTTTATTTTTTAAATTGCTTCCAAATGAATTCGTTCTTAATTATATCCAAAAAATTAAAGATTAAAATTGCGATTTAAAAGGTCTACTAGACTTTTCGAGAAATGAAATACTCAGCAGAGAATGCACAGCTTATGTTAATTATAATTCTGAAGAGAAATTCTTGCAATTAGAAAAGCCACTACTTTTCAAATTGAAACCTTTTCCCGACTGCGATATTTTAAGTTTAGAAATGAAAAGGCAGATGTTATTAATGTCTGGATAAAAGGTAGAGAGTTAAAAACTGCAAGCAGAAAGTAAAATTAGCTTCTATAATTAACAAACATTCGAAAGTGAATTGTTGGGCATTAAAATAACACAAACAAGAACTAATTATCATACTTATTCAAAAAAAAATACAAAGAGGAAATTCTATATAGACTAAATAAAAATAATATTCACAGGAAAAGTGCACAGCAAAAATGGATGAGAAAAATACACATGTATGAATAAATTTTCAAACTGATACATATTCAAAAGAACTGCATGACGAACAGCAACAACGAACTAGCTACACACAGAAATGGCATTTTTCTTGAATCATCAAATTTGGCACATAATCAGATAAAATAAAAATTTTCACACGTAAAAAGCAGACTTTTATCCTAGAATATAATAAAATTCAGTAATTAAGATCAGAAAATCTTTTACCAATCTGTTAGGCCAAGAACTTACCCGCATTAGTTTTAATGAATATTCTCGCATCTCAATCTGTTAAATAAACTGTGTTAATATGCAAAACAAGATATTAAATAATACAAACAAGAATTGACATATTTATTCAAAAGAGGCATAAAGAAGAACAATTTTTATGCAAACTAAGTAAAAACGGCACATTTACTTGAAATTTTGTCAAAAATTTACCAGCAAAAACTTGATGAATCTCTACATGAGCTAAAGAAAATACCACATTCAACTTGAAATGAGTTCAGTCAGAAATTTACTAGCACAATAAAAAGAGACATGGAGGGAAAAAAAAAGAAAAAACAAGAATTAATTTTTATATCTACTCCCCCCCCAAAAAAAAAAAAATGCAGAATGAGCAGCAGCAACACAAAACAAAGTAGACAATTAAAAATAATTTTAATGAATCGATCATTAATAATGAAATTCTGGGCATATACCACATAATCAGAGATAAAGTACAAATTTTCATACATAAACAGCAGATTTTATCCTACAATATGATTCAGTAATTAAGAGCAGGTAATATTTTACCAATTTGCTAGGCCAAGCTCTTACCATCATTGGTTCTAATGCATTTTTCAACAAACAGCATTACACATCTGTCAAATAAACTGCACTAATCTGCAAAACAACACATTAAAATAATACAACTAATTAACATATTGGCTCAAAAAAGGCATAACGAAGAGCAACTTCTACACAAATTCAGTAAAAATGGCACATTTACTTGAAATATCCTCAATCAAAAGTTTACTAGTAAAGCTTTTACATGTGTTAGAATTTTCGTGGTTACTTAAAAAAAATGGAAACAGTAATCTCTACACGACCTAAATGAAAATGGCGCATTTATCTAAAAACACGGTAATCGGCCAGAAATCTACCAGCACATAAAACAGAAAATGAGCATGAAAAAATATACGCATGCAAAAATTACTTTTCATATTTAATAATAAATATAAGATATAAAGCAAACACTTACCAGAGAAATAGAAACCTTGGGTATTTGACGAATAACCTGAAATTTGCCATTGCGCACATCTAAAAACAAACAACTTCAAATTAATCAAGCAAAATGTGTAAATTTGGAAAACAAGGTATTAAAAAAAATTTACGATAGAATTTTAGCATACTTACGGATCAAAAACATACCACTCTTCAACCACAGTTCCAGAAATAAGAATGAGCCAATGACGCCAAATTACTTGGCGAGAAAGTTATTAGTAGATCTTCATGCAACCCAGAGAATCTCGTAACTCCTCCCATTTTTTCCCCCTTTTTTCTCGTGAAGATAACCTGTCAACAACGAATTCCTTTAAATGTTCCCATAGTGAAATATCTGGCGCATATTTCGTGTTTCGAGATTCTGTTTGGTGTTCCGAATATATTTCCGATTCCTTCGGATTGATTGTCTGCTGACTAGATATTTTAAGTAAAACTTCCGTTTGGTTTGTAGGTGAATTACTGAAAGGTAAAAATCTTTATGTAAGTAATACGTCTTGCAAAAATTAAGTTTTCGTTTTGTGTGTAAGGCTAAAAAAAATTCGCTGAAATAAATAAACAGAGCGCAGGATTTCTTAAACGCTACGAATTTTTTTTTTTTTTTTTTTTTTTTGTGTGTATGTCTGATGGCATTACGTTGATGCAGTTAAGAGTTTAATAATTCCGTGCACTTTGACTTTCTAAAATGTTCATAAATTGTTAAAGTTTTTATAATAGTTTAGGGGAAAGTGCAGAATCGCCCACTGCTTCGCGCGTTTTTGAGAATTGCACGTACTCGGTATCCATGTACACATCAACATATTTTCACTTAAAAAAAACAACCCAGAATTGCATAAAAATGGCATTACGCACTCCCATTTTCCATGTACACATCGACCTATTTTCACTTAAAAAGTCAAAGAAAATTGACAAAAATCCAATTCTTCTTACTCTTGTAAAAAGCCCCAAACAAATAAGTGGGGGATTCTGCACTTTACCCATAATTTAAATTCTTTACTTATTTGGTAATTAATTGAATATTATTGTAACTTTTATCGAATGTGTGCATTTATAAATCATGGCAATAACATGGGTCCAATTTTGGAACTAAACCATTTAATTTCATCCAGAGCACATAGGAGTTCCAAATTAAACAAGCTTGTGATACTTTATTTTTCAGCAATATTAACAAATTGTATTATAAGGTATTTTTCCCGCTTTCTTGGCATGCCTTTGTGATGTGGTGGTCTGCTCGCTGGGCTCGTATCCATAGGTCTGCAGTTCGATTCCCAGCGAAGGCGTTGCTATTTTTCATCTCTCCTGCTTCCAAAAAAATACATAATGTCTCTACAAGTGGTGCCCGAACTAAAAGGGTTTTAGATGATGATTCTCCACACCCAGGATTTGTCAATTAGGTTCCCTAAAACCCCAGTTGCAAAATCAAACCTTTTAAAAGGAACTGAATATTTTAAGTGCAGATATTTTACACATTTTTGATAACATTTATGTAACGTGAGGAAAAAGAAGTTGATGCCTATGTTGAAGAATATCAAATAGTTCAAAATACAATTGTTGATCTCTACTTGGATTTAGAACGAAAATGTTCTCACCTTGATAATGTTAGTTCGGTCAGTGTTAAATCAGATACTACAGAAGTAAAACTTCCAAAATTAACTTTACCTACCTTTAATGGAAATTTAGATCAATGGCTTACATTTAGCGATTTTTTTAAGACCAGTGTACACAACTGTGTTAAATTATCAGATGCTCAAAGGCTTCAGTTTCTTAAGAGCTCTTGTAAGGGTGAAGCTCTAAAAGTAATTCAAGCTATACCTATTTCAGATTCAAATTATAAAATTGCTTGGGATTTACTCGAAGATAGATTTTTGAATAAACGTGAATTTGTTAATTCATTAATTAAGAGTCATATTGCACATCCAAATGTTTCTGATTCAGTGAATGCTATTTTGAATCTTGTTGACGTCACTAATGAATGCATTCGTTCCCTAAATGTTCTAGAACAAAAGGTCAAAGGCTTTAATGACACATTGGTAACTCATTTACTCGTAGAAAATTTGGATAAAAATTAAATGCATTTGGTATGAGAAACACTTAAAAGGTGGTCAACTAGGAACATTAAACGAATTACTTGTGTTTCTAAAGGAACATGCAAAAACACTTCACAACAGTAAAACCAATGTGAAGGAAAAACGGGTAAGTTCCAAAGTCACATCTTTGGTTTTAGAAACTACTACAAATTGTCCTTATTGTAAGAAAGATCATTACTTATATAAGTGTGATCAATTCGGTAAATTGCCTGTTGGCAAGAGATTCAATTTTGTGAAGTTTAATAAATTTTGTTTTAATTGTTTATCTAATGTGCATAATGTTAAGGCTTGTAAAAGCTTGAGTAGATGCAAAACGTGTCATAATAATCATCATTCACTATTGCATTTCACGAAATCTCGAGATACGGTTTTATCTGCTACTGGTAATAATGGAAATGCATTGTCCGTTCATGCGAAGGTGTTTACTACTCAAAATATGACAGAAAATACTATCCCATATAATGTTGCTAATAATTTTAATCACATACACTCTAATTTTGTGAATAGTGAAACTGTAAACAAGGAAGTTTTGTTGTGCTTTGCTGCAATTATAGTTCATGATGCACTAGGTAATTTCGTACAGTGTTGAGCCTTGCTGGATTCTGGCTCAGAGGCAAACTTCATTACTAAGAGTTGTCTTTCAAAATTTCATCTGGATAGAAAAAAGGCAAAGATCCAGATATCATGCCTAGGATCAACTGCATCTCTAACAAATGGAGAACTGGAGATTACTTTCTCCCCTCACTTTGGTTCAGAACCTTCCTTTATGACTTCTGTTTTTGTTATAGATAAGGTTTGTGGAAACTTACCACATGTATCATTATCATCAAATATTGTGAATTCTTTCAGTGATCTGATTTTGCTGGATCCTACATTTTATGAATCTGCCCCAATAGATATTCTTCTAGAAGTCAATGTTTTCATGTCACTTGTTTTGGGTGAACCAATTAAACAAAACCAAGAACTTCCAACAGCTGTTCATTCAAAATTAGGTTGGATCATTTCAGGAACAGCATTAGTTAATTCTTATGTGAACTCTTGGGTATCATTAAATAATTTAGAGTTAACTACTAGTGAATTAGTTAAATTTTGGATTCTCGAAACAGTTCTGGAAGAAAGTGTTCTGTCGAAATCCGAAGTAAGGTGTGAGGAACATTTTAAAACTTTTCATAACAGAGATAACACAAGTAGATATGTAGTAAGATTACCATTCAAGAAGTCACCATCAGAATTAGGACATTCAAGGGAATTAGCTTTGAAAAGTTTTTTACTTTTGGAAAATAGATTAGTGAGAAAACCCAAACTGTATAACTTATATAAGGGGGTTCTTAATGAATATTTGCATTGTATGGAAGTCATAACTTATTCTGAACCTGTCCTTCCAATAGTCGAGTAGTCTATTATCCTATAATAATAAGGTCTAATAGTTTGTCTTCCAATAGTCTGTTATCTACTTCACCCAGTATTTAAACCATCAAGCACTAAATTAAGGGTTGTATTTAACACATCAGCAAAAACATCCAGTGGTTATTCACTTAATGATCTGCTACACATAGGTCATTCCTAGAATTCAACCAGAATTGTTTGACATTCTCATCCGATTTAGAACATATGCTGTTGCTATCTTTGTGGATATGGAAAAAATGTATAGACAAATTCGTGTGTATCAAGAAGGTATGAATTTTCAGTGCATTCTTTAGAGAAATCATGTGAATGAACCAATTCAAGAAGACTACTAACTGTGACATATGGAACTTTCCCTGCACCCTTTTTATCAACCTGATCTCTTCTCCAATTATCGTTAGATGAACAAAGGGGTTTTCCAAGGGCTTAAGCTATCAAATCTGATTTTTATGTGGCTAATTAACAGGTTTTTAACAGGTGCTGCATCGAGAAGTGCTGCCAAAAATTTAATACATGACATAGATAATTTTATGCATAGAGGAGGCTTCATACTTTGGAAATAGTTGTCTGACATGCCTGATGTATTAGAAGGAATACCACAAGAACTCAGAGAAAATACACTTCAGTTAGACATTTTCAAAGAACAATCAGGAAAGGCGTTAAGAATAAACTGGCATCCCCTAAGTGACACATTTAATTTTAACATTTCACCTTCTGTAATTTCAGTTGTCACTAAAAGGAATATGCTGTCAGAAGTTGCCAGAACTCTTTGACACCTTAGGCTGGTTAACCCCAGATATTATTTTTGTAAAAACATTTCTTCAAGACTTGTGGACTGACAAGTTAGATTGGGATGAAACTTTTAATCCATAATGATCGACCATTTGGACTTGTTTTCAGGGAGCATTAAATTCGCTTAGCAATTAAAAAATTACTAGCATGATTTTAATTGATAATCATTGCAAGATAGAGTTACATGCCTTTTGTGATTCATCTGAGAAGGTGTGTTGTGCAGTTATTTATTCTAAATTGTTTTCTGAAGAAGGTAAAGTATCATTGATATGTGCAAAAAAAAAAAAAAAAAAAAATATAATTGCACCACTTAAAGCGCAATCTTTACGACTAGAACTATGTTCTGCACTATTGCTAGCAAATCTACTCAAGATAATGATGAAATGCTTGAATGTTCCTGCTAGTAATTATTTTGCATGGTCAGATTCTTCTATCACTTTATTTTGGATTGCATCTGAATTGCGGAAATGGCTTCCTTTCGTAACCAATCGAGTGTCAAAAATTCAGACTGCTGTTCATGTGGTGAAATAGAATCACTTTCAAGAGAAAAATAATCCTGCTGATTATGGTACTAGAGGATTACAACCTAATGAATTGATTGAATGTGATCAATGGTTCAATGGACATTCCTGGTTACAGAATTTTAATCCAGAATCTGTATTGGATGAACAAATGCAATAGGACAGTCAGGAAGTAACCAAGGAAGAAAGAAAAAATGCATTATTTCTATTTTAGTTAAACTCTTTCTAATTTAGATGACTCTATTCTTTGCAGATTTTCATCATGGATAAAATTATGCTGTATCGTTGCTTATTGTTTACGATTTATCAACAATTGTTTGAAGCGCACTTTTAAGAAAACAGGATTTCTTGTTAGTGAAGAACTTAATAATGCCATTTATATGATAATAAGAATTTTACAACATTCTGAATTTCCTGACAAAGTATCAAGCTTAAAGAGTGGAAAATCCGTTAAGTCGAACAGCCGAATACTTTCCATAAGTCCATTCCTTGATGAAAGAGAAGTTATTTGTGTTAGAGGACATTTAAGGAATTCAAATATTTTGGAAAAATCAAAGACATCTTATGTTCATTCCTCAAAAACATTTTGTTTCTAAGCTCAGCATCAGACATTATCACAAAACGTATTTGATGCACCTCCTGCACTTTTGCTTTCTAAAATAAGACAAAGGTTTTGGATTGTCGCTGTTAGATCTAAAATAAGAAAAATTATTGAGAATTGTGTGGTTTGCTGTAGACGTCGTGCCCAAGTTTCAAAACAAATAATGGCTGACCTACCGTCATTTAGAGTTACAGCTTCACAAGCTTTTTTTCGAGTCGGGATGGATTTTACTGGCCCATTCATGATAAACACAGAGCAGGACATGGACAAAATGTTTCAAGTGTTATGTCTGCATTTTGTTTGTTTTACCACATGAGCAGTTCATCTTCAAGTCATTGAAGATCTTTCTTCTAAGGCTTGTGTGGAAGCATTAAAACAGTTTATATACAGAAGAGGAAAACCAAACAAAATATTTAGTGACTGTGGGATGAACTTCAAGGGTGCCAGCAAGGAAATATGTGAGGCTTTCTTTTTATGTCAAAAAAATGAACATCTCCATTCTTTCTTGACTTCAGAAAATATTAAATAGAATTTCATTCCTCCAGCCGCACCACATTTTGGAAGACTTTGGGAATCTGCTGTAAAATCTATGAAGTATCATCTTCGAAGATTAATAGGAGCAACGATCTTGACTTATCCCGAATTCACAACCTTATTAGCACAGGTTGAAGCTTGTATAAATTCGAGGCCTTTGTTTTCTACAATCTGATGATCCAAATGACATTTGTGTTCTCACACCTGGACACTTCCTCGTTGGTACATGTCTCACATCATTGCCTGAAGGAAGTTTAGAAGAATCGAAAAATATTGTTGATCAATGGAAATTGAGATTACTAATTTTTAAAAATTTTTGGAAAAAATGGAATCGAGAATATCTGTCCGAGTTGCAACATCGAAATAAGTGGAAGAAATCTTATGAAAATATGTCTGTCAATGACTTAGTCCTGATTAAGGAAGAAAACATATCACCTCTTCATTCGAAATTGGGTAGAATAATTCGTGTATATCCCGGATCAGATAATAAAGTTCGAGTTGTGGATATTTGAACTGCCAATGGAGAAATTAAAAGACCTATTGTTAAGCTCTGTCCTTTGCCTGTCAGACACTATGAACTTTGAACTCTTTAGAACATTAGCCTTTTTTACACTGTTAAGTTTGATTATTTACAACTTTTCTTTTATACTTTGTCACTAATATTTTCTTACAATTTTTCAGGTTATCTTGTATTTTCCTTTGAAGCTCTTGGAGTGCTTCAAGGGACGCGGTATGTTATTATTAAATTTAACTTTGTAGATGCTGCTGCTATTGCGAACGCAGATTGATTAAGTCAATCACATGACTGCTTTGGAGTCGAGAGTAGATGTTCTGTTTATGTTAGCTGAATTCACAGCACAACTTGTTTTGGCTTGGGAATAAAATCGCATTTTTAATACAGTCCATTTGCTGTTTGTTGTTAATCTGCATCGCATTGCCACATAATTATTCATATGTTATTAAGGACAACTTTACAAAATTTATAATGCAATAATATGATGCTTTAAATCACATTATGAATTTCTTTGAAAACTTACAGAGGCTCACATTTGTTTTCTGAATTTGTGTTTTCCAGGTTTACTTTCAAATACCAGTTACTGAATCCTAGAGAAATAATTTAACTTTTTTTCATGTATACTATTTATTATGTTTGTATAACTTGTTTGTTTTGGAAAAGCTCGTGATTACATCTTTTGAAACCTGAGGAAGGCTATGCCTCACCTTCGGCTGTTATTCTAACAGAAGAATTATGAAATAAATCCTAAAGATATTCATATAATAAATCTAATTTTTTAATGTAAAATGTTAGTTAGCAGCATATTTAAGATGTTTAAATTTAAAAATGAAGTTAAAAATAAAGTAAAATTTTTAAGCAAGATGATATTTTTTTAAGCAGTAGCTTTAAAAAATCATAAATTTTTTTTGTAGATTTTTAGCAAATGTTCTGTAACCTTTTGTTCTTGTCTTGTTTGTAATAAAGCCTTTTCAAATAGTGCTGGGGTCAAATATGACAGATCTGGCAATCTGCAAAATGTTATCATCGTAGAGGTCTGGTCTTTGAAACAAGACTCTAATTTTTAACAATTCAGCAAAGAATGTTGAAAAACCCCACAAACGATTTTTGTATCACCGTTAAAGGTGCTTCTCTTCTGAGAAAAAGAATGTTAATTCAGTTTGCGACGTAGTAAGTAGTGAACCATCAATGCAATCCTGGTTGCTTTGTAAATAAAATGATTATTTTTGTACATTGCTGAAGTATTGGCTTCAATTAGATTTAAGTGTGATCAGCTCCCTTAAGGAAGTCAATATAATAATAAATATAATGTTTTTTTACATCTTGGTGCATCGGCCGAAAAAGGCGAATACGCTGGTTGTGCTTCGAATAAAGAATATAATATACAAGCGTTGCAAACTTTGGAAATATGTGCTGCTATCTTTGGATACCTTGTTCCAAGTAAGATAAATATGAAGATCGTTCAAGGTAAGATTTAATATTCTCCTTTAGTTAAGAAATGAATCTTATATTGCAAATTACTTTCATTTTGATTGAACAAGTTGCAAATGACTTCTAACTCCTCTTCTTTACATAATTAAAATCAGAAGAGCAATTTAGTTAATGAAGATATTAAGTTAATTTGAAAGCATTGTTAAAAGTGATTTCGAAATGGAAATTACAAAGGCTAAAAGAGCTACACTTAGATCTCTTACAACAAGATTAATTTCTAAAATCAAAGCTCGAATTATAGAAAATGAAACAGAAGAAGAGTTGGAAGAACTTTCAGAACAGATAAATTTGAAATTTAAACAGTTAAAAGAAATAGATTCTGAAATTCAAAGTCAAATTACGGATGTTAAAGAAATAGAAAACGAAATTATTAAATGTGACGAGTATCGTGAAAAATTGATTAATTGCTCATATAAGTTGAAAGCTGCTATCACTAATTGTAAACCAAGTACACAAAGAACACAACAACAACCTATTAGCTTCTTAAAATTAGAAACCAATTTGTTAAATTACCGTCGTTAACAATAAGAAGATAGAATGGCGATCCTGCAGATTGGCAAAGATTCTAAGATCAGTTTGAATCCCTGGTACACAAAAATGAAGATTTAACAGAAGTAACTACAAATGAAATTAAAGGAATTACACTAACAAATAAAAATTATGAAGCAGCAAATAGAAACCTTAAAGGAAAGATTTGGACAAAAAACTTTGGTCATCAATTCTCATTTGAATAAGCTGTTAAATCTAACACCTGTTAAGAAATCAACAGACATCTCTCTGCTTAGAGAATTGTTATATGCTTGTCAAACAGAAGTTCACAATTTAGAAGCCTTGGGGGTAAATTCAGAAACTTGTGGTTCTCTATTATGTCCCATATTGATTAAATTAATACCACAAGATATTGTTCTAGAGATCACTAAAAAATGTGAAATAGATGAAGATTGGAAGGTCTCGAAAATAATTAATATTGTAAAAATAGAAGTTGAAAGCAGAAAAAAACCTTATTTTTGACACGCAACAAATATTCAAATGAACATGAAACGAAATTTCAAACACCATTAGGAAAAACTAGTGATCCGAGTGCAAAGCTTCAAAACTGAAACACTTTCATGAAAGAAATTCATAAAAGTACACCGTCAGCAACGGCATTCAATATGACACAGTCTGAATGAAGTTTCTGTTATGTGCCACATGATTCATTTAAATGCAAAATGTCACCACAAAATAGAAATTTTAAAGAATACTAAACATTGTTTCAAATGTCTTAAAATGTATCACATTGATAAAAACTGTCGTTCTAATAAACTTTCTTGTTTCAAGTACAAAAGCGAAAGTCATCATAGTTCCATTTATCTGAGTAATAACCAAAATATAATTACTGCAACAATGAATCAAACGAATAATCTTGAGAACAAGTGTAAAGAATCATTGAATTTAAATTGTATGCTAAAGATACTCAAGAGTTAAATAATTCTAATTCTGAAACTGTCAGTTCAATTTCACAGTGTATTGCAAGTATGACATGTTCCAAAAATGTTTATATACAAACATGCGCAGTTATTGCAAATTCAGAATTTAATTCTAATGTAACTAGGCTTCTACTCTATAATGGAAGTCAAAGAAGTTTCTGCACTGAACATTTAGCGAATACGCTCAAGTTAAAACCTATTTGCTATGAATTACTTTCTGTTTATTCCTTCGGTATGGAATGCGCTTTAGAAAAGAATTATCCAGTCGTCGAATTTGAAATCAAAATCTAGACATAATAAGCAGTATTCAGTTAAAATCGAAACTCTCATTATCCCAAGCATTACCGGTGACATAATTTCACCTCCAGATAAACAAGTGTCAGAATTCATGACTAGGCATAAACTACCACTCGCTGACTCATGCTGCGGAGATAAGTATTTGGATGTTGAAATCCTAATAGGATCCGATATATTTTGGAAATTTATCTTTGATGAAAAAATCACAATTAATAAATATTTAGGTGCATTAAAAACTGTCTTTGAATGGGTAATTACTGGTGCAGTTTAAATCAAGTCTGGAAACGACATTCAGAAATCATACATCGTATTGTTTACGTGCGCTGTTACACGAGCGTTACATCTAGAACTCGTTTCCAATGTGTCTGCAAACAAAATCATTTTGGCTCTCAGATGTTTCATTTCGAGAAGAGGAAATTGTCGCACTTTTTATTCAGATAACGCGAAAACTCTTAAATATGCTGCCAAAGATTTACAGTATTTTTACAGCATAATTGAAGAAGCAGACTTTCAAAATATTCTAGCAAATGAATTCTTGACTTGGAAATTTATCGTCGAGAAAAATTAAATTATCCGTGGCGGGGAGCTTTTTATGAATGCCTTATGAAAACCATAAAGGAACCTTGAAAAAGATATTAGGCAGAGCTCAACTGAATTTTGAAGAATTTATGACTGTGTCGACAGAAATCGAAAGTATTGTGAATAGATGTCCTTTGACCCACGTTTACAATGATTTACATGAACTTGAACCGCTTTCGCCGGCTGATTTTCTATTGATCGAACATAGAGATGAATATCCATACAACTTTGCTGAGATTCTGAATAGACCTCCAAGAAAGAGTCTAATAAAGCAAAAAGAATATCAGACAACACTAACATACAACATAAAACATACAACATAAAACAGTTCTAGAAAAAATGGAAAAATCAGTATTTTCTTTAGTTAAGAAATGCTCACTTCTTTTGTGCACTCGAAGCCAAGAAAAATCTTAAAATTTGTGATATAGTTTTACCTAAAGGAACAACTAAATCTAAGTTCCTCTGGGATTTAGGTCGAGTAATTCAAGTTTTAAAAGGGCGTGATGGTCTTGTACGATCTTGTGTGGTAAAAACTAAAAAAGGGGACTTTAAGAGACCTGTGCAGTTGATATACCCCCTTGAACTATCTGACTGAAAATGAACTAATTTCATAACTTTTTAATTTTATTTCTTATATTTCGTGTTCACTAACATTAATTTTAGATAATTAGTTTAGTTATTACTAATAATTTACTATTTGTGTAATTTGAATTAATATTTAACTTATTGAGCAATATTTGAATTGTATGCTGTTAACTGTATTTGTTTATTTTATAGAATTTCCTTTTGTTGTTTATATTTACATCAGGTAAATGTACTTGATATGTAAGTTGTTTTCTTACATTTTAATTATTTTGTATGTTGAAATAGTGATAAAATTATCAGGTGGAGAGATGTTGAAAAACCCCACAAACAATTTTTGTATCGCTTTTAGAGGGCGCTTCTCTTCTGAGAAAAAGAAAGTTAGTTCAATTTGTAACGTAGTAAGTAGTGAACCATCGATGCAATCCAGGTTGCTTTGTAAATAAAATGATTATTTTTGTACATTGCTGAAGTATTGGCTTCAATTAGATTTAAGTATGATCATTTCTCTTAAGGAAGTCAATATAAATAAAATATTTTTTTTTATAAAGAATGGCCAGAAAATCAAAAGTGTGTGCAGTTGTAATAACTGTGAATATGGGCTTCATTTTCTATCTATTTTTTATATTGCAACATAAAAGTGTTGATGAGTTCGTTCATATAAATTTTGAACACAATTCTTATATGTTAATCTCTATCTGTTATAACATACTTAAAATTACAACCATATTTTATGTTGATCTCTTTTATTCCGACTGTAATTTTAAGTGATATAGCTCAAGGAGGAAGTAAATGAAATACTAGAGAATATTTTAATGATTACAAAATGAGATTTGCCATGTCATCGTCATTTATTTGATGAAAACACTGATTATAGGAAAAAATCATTGTTTTAGTGAGCGTAATGAAGATGCTAGTGATAAAAATGTGGAACTGAATAATCACAGCACTGACCCTAAAACAGTCTTATAATTTGACTTTAAGTGGTAATGAAGATCATTTTCAAAACGAGAAAAACGAGCTGAAATGCATTCAAAAATGACAAACAACAGTATTGTAAAATATCTAATTCTTATAAAAAACACAAGTATTTCTGAAATAATTTAGCCTTTTTGAAAATAATCATCAGGATTTGATTGGAAAAATAATGAACCATTTAATAGATATGTAGAGTTATGCATTATATAAATCATTTCTGTAAAATATTTGCATCAAAAGTAATTTTTTTTTTTTTTCTTTTCAGAATGAGCTGCTTATTTTATGTTTTATATATAGAAAATATAAGTCATACGTATTAATAAAAATTGATCAGTTAAATTTATACATAAACAATGCAACAAAATGAAAATGTCTTATGCTGTGAAGAAACATTAGGCAAGACACAAGTATAAAATATATAAACTTTATTTAATACATCAATAATGACATTCCGATGAGAAAAAGGAATTGCTGCTTCATGCAACCTCTACAATAGTATAGGAGTATATCCTATAATAAAAGGCTTTGTATAAATTGCAGCATATGATTATTTATGCAATAAAACTTAGTGCTTGTTATGCAAGATGAAATTTCAGAAATACTACTTTAGAATACCAAAATGTGCAAACATCGTATTTTACTCAGACACCTTGTGATTGCTGAATGAGATGACAGTGCATTAAATCTTAAGTAAGCCATGTATAGGTGCATGTTTGTGCATCAGTTATACTTTATTCTTTCTCTATCTACCTTCTTACTTTATTTTTATTTTATGTTATTTAGTATTAGCAGCTATGATTTTTTAATAGCTTAAATGTTAGTTTGAAGTATATTAATGTAATCTGTTACTTTACAGTATGTATAGGAAGCTCTGGAAAACAGCAAAGTGGGCTGTAATTGGAGGAGCAGCTGCTGATATAATTTGTTTAGCTGGTGGCTATTACTTTTATCACCAAATGAAAAATTCAAGAGGTATAACAAATTTTGATGTGCCATTTAAGGATAAACATTAAATTATAAAAGTATCCATTAAGATTTAAAATTTATTTTGAATGTAACTTTTTATATTGAATAATAAACTGCTTTATGGAAAATCTTTAAATTTTTTAATAACGTAGTTCAAGTCTGTGTACCATTGTGAATTTCTGACCTTGAAACAGGATTAGAAATTTGTGTAGTACAGTTTTTATTATAAATTTATGTCATTCTATGTTGGTAATTAGTAACTAAGACACCAACTTAATATATTTAAATTAAATTGCTAATTCCATGTGTACTTTTATTACATAGAAACTTAATTAAATCTCATTGTAGAAGTTCAGTTTTTTTCTCAGCAGCTTAAAAAATGTTTGCTTAGAAGTTATTATATTCACTTTTCATACACTTTTAAAAATCTTTAATTATAGTTTCCTGTTAGTAGCAACACCTCTAAAAGGTGCTAGATGATTTGTGTGGTAATCACTACTTATATTCTCATGCTAAGGGGTACTGTGACATGCTTGTTGTTTATATGCAAATCAGCATTAACAAATGTAAAACATATATATTTATTTTTATCATATTTTTATATAATTTTATATATAATCTTTTGAAACATTATGGGTACATCAGTCTAAGCTTCAAAATATTCCTCATTTTAAGATAATCACTTTGCCTAGCTCCATTTCTGTTATTCATATTATCCAGTTACAGCCAGTTTACATTTTGTCATCTTTACATTACTACTGCACTGCTGTCGCATAACTCTTTATGCATTTTGAAATCAAAAGAAATTGTAAGGGGCCAAATCTGGTGAGAGGGAGAGTGACTTGCAAGTCAGCAACCACTGTCTTTTTTTTTTTTTTTTTTTTTTTTGTGACAAGATAGTTCCTTACTGTGTTCATGCATATGCTTGTTTAACATCCCAAAACTGATAATTATGATTTTCAGTGCTGTAAGAGAAATAATGTTTTATATTATCATTATAAATGGTGTTGCTGTATATAAATATACACGTTGTGATAATGTCTATTCATAATGTTATGAATTTACCTGATTTATACATATATTTTTTGCTTAGTTCCATTTATTTATTTTTTCGTTTCAACAGATTATTTTTCTCTGTTTCAGACTTTCGATATAAAATTTACAATTATGATCCCAGATTTGTTGATGGTAAGAAATTTGTTTTATTTTTAATAAAGAAATGGTATAATGTTTCTCATTTCAACAATCAGTTCACAATATTTCTAATTTTTCTTTATTTGTACTTTCAAGCTTAAGTACTAAAATATCCTGTACATTCTCTAAGAAATATGTTAAGAGATGACGCAGCTGCTTTGAATTCGAAACTGGATGTATAAAATTAATTTTTGATGCATATTAACATAAAAGTGATAAAAATATTTAGGCGTGTACAGATTTTCAGATTAGTTGCAAAATTAAAATGTAGAATGTATTTTGAAATATTGTTGCTTGTATTTAATTATATCTAATTATAATATTAGCCATTTTTGTTTTGTAATTTATAAACAATACCCACTGCATATTAAAATTACTTCCATTCCAAATATGTTTTGACTTTATTAAGTGGCTAATTTAATAAACGGCGATTTGTGAATTACAAACTATGGTATCAGTTTTAAACTTTTTAAGTAAAATAATAATGAATAACTATTCCATTAATTAATCTAAAATAATAATTAAAAATTAATACATAAGTTGAATTATTTACACAAATTAATTTTCTACAAAAATATTTTTACAATTACACGGCAATTTGTGCATTACAAACTATGATATCAGTTTAAAACTTTTCAGGTAAAACAATAATGAAGAACTAATCCTTTGATTAGTCTAAAATAATAATTAAAATTCATTCTAAAGTCAAACTATTTATATGAAATTTAAATTAATTGAAAAATTTTTTACAAAAATATTTTTACAATTACATTTTTGAGAAAATTTTTTTACAGATAGCTATGCTTTCTGTATTTTTTTCATACTGTTCAGCAGCAGTGTTTTAATTGTTTTCTCAGTTTCATAAAACTGCTGATAGCTTTTTTGATCAGTACCTTCCAATGCAAGCATTTTTCTTAGAATTTGCAGTGCTATATTCGATTCATGGTGGCATGTCATTGCTTTTTCCCTGTATAATTTATGCAATCAGTTTCTGCAGTTTTTTTTTAACACAGTGAGTACATCATCAGTTTTATGCACATTGTTTCAATATTGCTGTGAATTGACACATATTCTAAAAAGGAACCCTCATAACTTCCCTCACTGATGTTTGAAACATTAACTATAATTTGCGTTTTGAGGTTTCTACTATATAAAAGTTACATTCTTTAAAACAGTTTTTAAGAGGCTAACCTTTTGCATTGACTACAATATGAATGACATCTAACAGAGATATCAACTTATTTCCTTTGAATTGCTTGCATTTTCATGAATTCAATTCTGTTCATCATTTATTGGACATCTTTTTTATAATGGCATTTGAAAGCTTTTATAATACCCAGAAATTAAAGTTATGTCGTATTGATAATTAAAGTCCTGTAAGAAATAATGTTTATATTATCATTATAAAATGGTGTTGTATATAAATATACACGTTGTGAAATGTCTTTCTAATGTTATGAATTTACTGATTTATACATATATTTTTGCTTAGTTCATTATTTATTTTTCGTTTCAAAGTGTTATTAGCAGAGAGCAACACTAGTGGTTTTCAGGAAGCAATCACAGGTGTGTGTGCTGCACGTTATCTAATATAGAACAGCTATTTTTTAAAATTTTTTTTCCATTTGCAGTCCCATTTCAAAAGAAAATTAGTAAAAATATAGTGTGTTCATGAAGTTCCTGAAGAACTTGAATCACGTTTTGTTTGGGAATGGAGCAACTTAAATCTTCGGTACCAGCCACACTGTCAAAAGCAAGGTTCAAAACTTTGGCGACAAATTACAAAAGTTACACAACCATGACATGTGACAAATGACATCCAGTTGATGGTCCTCCAACTATAGGCAAATTCAATTAATCAATGTATCAAGGTGAACTCTGGTTTTTTATTGCTTGTTGATTGAAGAAAAATGGTCCTAAATCATGTTATGTAACATCTCGCTCCAAACATTCACTTTCCGGCAGTCCCACTTCAACTTCCTTGCAACATAAGGATTTTGGGATCACCAAATTCTCACATTATATGTATATTAAACCCAAACAAAGTATTGGGAAAAAAGCTTTGCTTCATATGTAATAACACCACAAAAATTAACAGCACAACTACTTACAGGGTGCTCACAATAATAGGCTAAAGTTGTTCACTTTGAGGACACCTATGCTATATTTATCATCTGTGATTTTTTGCTACTCTGACAAGTTAGAAATAAATTTTTGTCACCTTTCAAATACTGAGGTTCTCTGTCATGGAAATCATGATGCAAATATATGGTCCTGAAAAAGAGCTGCCAGGCCGAACATTTAAGAAAATTATCTTTGCATTTTAGATATTAATTTAATATGCAGGAAATCATTCTAAAAATGTGTGAACACCCTCTGTAAACTATGCATACAACAATCATTGAGAGAGTGCTTCTTTTAATGCTTATACAATTTCAAAGCTTACCAGAGATTGCATTTTGTTTATCAAGTTGATCTGCCACTTCATGACTGCAAGCATAATCAATGCTTTCCTTGCTCTTTCTTCAGTCTATAGTTACCACTTCATTTTCATGCAGAGGCTCTTAATGTATGGTAATGCTTGTAAGCATTTCATAAATTTTTTTATAACTCTCTGGTGCCCCGAAGAGGCTCTCTGGTGTCTGGTGCCCAGAAGAGAGATTTTGAATGTGGAAAGCTTAAAAGATGGGATACAGAAGGTGAACGTACACCTCCTATCAGCAAGTATTTGTGAAGGAACTCTCACTTATTTACCATGTCTCTACTCTCGAGATTTTTTTTGTTAAGGTAAGGAAATTCTAGCCTCTCTGAAATCCAGTGTAGACAAAGAACAGGTTATACAAGAGGCTGAAGGGTAGGAAAATTTCTTTCAAACCAGTCTTTTTGAAGCACTTTTTATACCTGAATGATAAAACCACGATCCACAGTATTTTAAATGGATGAACTACAAAAAGCTTTGATAGGTACCTTTTTGGGGGGGGAGGAACGAACAGTTCTCTATCTCTCATTCTACTGGGTCGATTGACAAACTTTAACATGTGTTTCTATGTCTCAAAAGCATGACTTAGTATATATATTAAAAGCATATGTGCCAGTGATAAGTTTATTCTTCCTTTGCAACTCTTTAATGAGAATATTTAAATGGCCGTGTAAGTTAATGAGAAATGCTAGCTATCCAGGTATCAGTATGTAAACTCATTGATGATTTTTTACTTCATGAAAATTTTAATTTCATTTATTAAATCAAAAAATGTTTTAGTACAGATCCTCAATTTAACCACTTCACCTCATTATAGAAATTATTTCTTTGCATACATTTGCAATTTCTTCAACAGATACAACAAATTCTGGTTGATTCAGAACTCTCCCATGGATAAAATTAACTGTTTCAGTTACCATTTTGCATCTGCAAACATTTGGCACAATGTGTTTCTTGAAGAATAATGCAATGTGAAACTTTTCTTCTTTCACTAAATTTTTTCATAACTTCATTTTTTACTTCCTTGTATGAAGTAAAAGAAGTGTTTTAATTGCAAAAATTTCATGTTTCAGATTTCAGTGGAAATGTTCATTTTTTGCATCATATCTGAACATATGGGGATAAAAAAGGATTCTTTATTCCAAAACAGATTGCAAAATAGATTTGTTTTCTTACAACATGTGTGCATAAGTATTTACATACTTATCTCGGATAACTAAAAAATTATTAGCTGTAGAACATTAAAATTTTGTACATGGCACTGCTATAACATCTAGTTGTGCATCTCTCTTTTTTACTGAAATCGGCAAAACCAAAAGAATGTATATATACAGGGTGATTTGCTACCAGACCGACAAACTTGCAGGGTGTGTAGGAGTACAGAGATGACTCGGAATCACATAGGAATGCAGCTTCACAAATGCCATAATTGCGAGCAATGGTGCAAAGATGCAGAGAAAAAGGAACAGAAACAGCAGTCCCATTAATAGGAAAAAATCATTTCATTGGAAGGTTGTACTACAACAGGTGTTCGAAATTATGATCAGAAGTCGTCTGGCGTGCCTGATGGCTGCACTGTATGAAATTCCTTGCATTCTGGAAGATTCCTGGCATGTCACGTATCCTTCTGGCAGCTACAGATATTTGAGCGATGAGGTCTTCAACTGAAGGAACATACACCAAACTCTTCATGTGACCCCAGGAGAAGAAGTCCATGCATGATCTGGCAGGCTAATGAACCAAGCCACCACATCCTATCAAGTGCTGTCGAAAGGTTACTTTGAGGTGTCTGTGTATGTCAGTTGTGTAATGTGGAAGAGCTCCATCATGCTTGTACCATGTGGAGTGGCACAACTATAGAGGAGCATGTGCTGGGTCAAGAAGTTCAGGCAGGACTTGTTGTAAAAAGATCAGGTATGCCCTACCGCCCAAAGGAGTGGGCAGAAGGTACGGTACAATGAGGTAGTCTGCAAGAATGTCGACCCAAAAATTGACCAACATTGACCGAAAAACGCTCTTGAGCTGCATGTGATTGCATAGGATGAGGGTTCTCCAAAGCCACATGTGAGTGTTATGCTGATTGAAGGCTCTCTCATATGTGATGTAAGCTTCATCTGTGAACAATAGGTGTGCAGCAAATATGCTGTCCGTAGCACTCTGTTGCAGGAACCATGTAGCAAATGACTTCGAGTGGATAATCATCAGGCTTTAATAATTGGATATGCGCTCATTTGGTTTGCTGCAAGTATTCACCAGACAGTGAATTGATATAAACCTACTTCTTGGGCTATCGCTTGAGTACTCTTACCTGGATTGTCTTCTGCCAGATGTAAGACCACCTCCTCATTGCCATATGTCCTCGTTGTTTATTGTCAATTCATTGTAGCTCTTGTTAAACAACCAGTCTCATGTAACCTTCTGCTCACACTTGTGAAGGTCATGTGATGTGTAGCACGCTTGTTCAGGTAACATTCCTGGTACAAATTGGTACCCATTACAATCTGCAGCTCCATGC